GCGGCTGGAAATAACAAAATGAAATCGTAAGCGTTAGCGTTTTCCAAAGCATTTTCGTTAGGCGAATGGCACCCTGGCCGCATTCGTTCCTATGGGATGCGGGCCGTTTGATAGAGTTGACCCTTTATGGTATCCGTAGAATTTTGTTCGGATCGTTGCGTTGCGATCGGTGGTAGAAAACATGTCGGCCGTCCGCGTTCATCCGTAATATTGGAGACTGTGGGAAATCGACTATTAAAATCTATGGATTTATACAGGCGTTGACCGTAGGTATTTATTTATGTTCGTATTACAGACATTTCTTATTGAGTAAAAAGGTCTGAAAAAACGTAAATGATTATTATTTACCTACATTTACATATACCAAAGTTAAAAAGATAACCATAAAATACTTAGTAAGTAATCTAAAGAATTATTTTTCTCGAAAAAAATCCATGAGGTCCATGAAGCAGATGGGAATAGTACCCTCCGCTACCCGGGCGGATGCACTACCAATTATGCTACCACGACCCTAATGACTCTATACTTCTAAATTTAACAGATAAATGCTTTAAAATAAATATAATAAACCACCTAGTAAGTAAAGAAAATATAACTAGGAAAAATTCCACGTGGACCAGGCAGCAGACGGGACTCGAATCCGCACCCTTCACAATCCGGGCGAATGCACTGACCAATTATGCTACCGCGGCTCTGACAGCCGCGTCGAAATTCTTCTAGCCATTCTTGAGCTGCAAGGCTGCTTTTCTAGTTACATTTTATTTAGATTTAAACATCAAGCAGTTACATGCTTCAAAATTAAAAAATTATAACTATAATTGCTATTTCTTCTTTCAAATGTTTAATACTTGTAAAAGTATTCATTTGACATTGTGGGTTACCTACAATACAAAGAGATGGCGCTGCCTCGCAGCTTAAGAATAGCTAGAAGAATTTCGACGAGGCCGTCAGGGCCGCGGTAGCACAATTGGTCAGTGCATTCGCCCGGATTGCGAAGGGTGCGGGTTCGAGTCCCGTCTGCTGCTTGGTCCGCGTGGAATTTTTTCTAGTTATATTTTCTTTAGATTTAAACATCAAGCAGTTACATGCTTAAAAATTAAAAAAATATACCTAGTAAGTAACTTATCTGAAAGCAAATAAATGGAAACACATTTATTATATTCTTTTAGAAGAAAAACGCGACGGCTTGTTAAGTGCGATAAATTCTAATGTAAAGAAACTTTGTGATTTAAGTCCACTTGCCCAAAAGTTCTTAAATTAAATTTAAAAGCTCATTTAAATTGATTAAGCACACTAAACTGCTCAAATTGAAAGTTTTTAGGGTTCCTTACTCAAAGGGCAAATGGGACCCTATTACTAAGACGCCACTGTCCGTTTGTCTGACTGTCTATAACGAGGCTGTATCTCATACTACCTTGATAGCTAGACAGTTGAAATTTTCAGTGATGATGTTATTTTTTTGCCGTTGTAACAAGAAATACTAAAAACAGATTAAATTAATTTACTTATATAGAGAGTGTAAAAAAACTCGTAACGAAGTCGAAGGCCACGTATTTTCCATATCATGACGATCATTTTTTTCTTCTGGACCATACCTGGGAAACTTATGGTTATGGAGATATTGAAGGTCAAAGTCACATTTTTTTTCAAGATTTTTACAAAAACCTTGGTTAGAAACTTTTATATCGACGCACTTACACATACACACAGGCACATTGTTTGTTTGTTGTTTTTTTTTTAACTTAAAAATACAAATGTTTCCCTCGTATAATATAATATTTTGTAATATTACTTGTTTGGGTGTACAGAATACGTTATTTTAGTCTTGGTCATAGATTTTTATACACCCTGTATATAAGGGGGCTATTCAACAGACGTAATTTTTTGCTGTTTTTTCATCGATGTTATGTAGTTTAGATACTGGTACGCAACCCTTCGTGCGCGAGTTCAGCTCGCAATATACCGGTTTTTTAGAATATTATATGAGGAAAAAGTGGAAGGAAAGAGAGGAAGGGGAAGACCGAGGATAGCCTACATAAAGCAAATCAAGGAAAAGGTTGGCGTCGAGTCGTACATGGGGCTCAAAGGGTTGACGGAGGATAGAGGGAGATGGAGGTGGATACATAGTCTGCACCGACAAGAGCATAGCTCTTAAATTTAGAGAGATATGAGAAGTAATTTTTTCGTATGCCTATAAAATGGGTATAAAAAACAGCCTAAAAATTATTTGACCATCATTCAAAGATTTTGCTAGCAGTAATAAAAATCAGGCTGCAATTTTAGTTCTGTAAACAAGTTTGTTTTGTTATGTATCTGCTAAATAAACAGATACACCGCATCACAATTGTTTGGGCAGCAAGATTATAGAATTGGGCAGTGAAGAAAAATCAAGTGTTCGTTAAAAGTAAGCGACAATAGGGGTAAAACGAAACTCAAAATTATTGATTGTTTAAATATGTACCTACTATAACAATATTCTGTTACTATATTTGTGTACATGATAAGTCTAGTATAAATAATATTTTTGCTAGACTTATATAAGCGGCACACAATAGATTTTTTGCTTGCTGTCTGAGTGCTTACCAAAATTTGATTAAATATGGATCACTCAATTCTGCTTTTATATATATTCGGCTGTACAAATATTTTGACGGCTGTTCAGGATGATATTAATTGCACAGATTTAAAAATATTTGCAGACCATAAGTTGATGCCGAACTATCTTTTGCTTGCTTATTGCTTGGCCAACATTTTTTTTGCTACCAACAATGCGATTACTTTGTTAACCGTTTAAATAAAACCCATATTAAATATCTACACTTCTCTAATCATAAGCCTATGTTCTTCTGCACATACTTTTTCATTGATGAATCATGATCATAATTAAAATCATTTATTTAGTTTAGGCTGTTACAAGCATATATGAATGTCTAGAAGCTACGCCATTGATTCGTAAATCTACGGCGGGAGACGTTGTACTGAGAAGAACCGGCATGAAACTCAGCAAGGGCTGCTTTTTTTCTCCCTGTTTTATCATTTACAGAGTCGTCAAGTTGTAAAATGACTTCAGAGATGATTCATGAAGTCACCTTTCATTACATAATTTGAAATTATACATCAATTGTTCACCTGCATTTTGATTGCTGTGTCACACAGTATCACATTTACATCTTAAATATCAAAGCAGTTAGGGCAGACTCATCTCCGCTGGCAGCACCCGTTCACGAGCATGACGCATGAACCAGCCATCGTTTCGCTCAACCATATTTTAGGGAACGTAACGACCCGCCTCACACGACACCATTGGCTGGAAACTAAATCAAAACACAGAAAAAGGTAAATTTAAAGAATCAAATAACCCGACTGCTTAAATATTGCTTCAAATAAAAACTGAAAAGAAAAGAACAAGTCCAGTTGTCTATAATTCTGTTAAGTATGGAACAAAACTACTTTAAAGTACAACTCTGGCCGTATGTTTGTAACAAATAATCTCTCAAGGTACTGAACCGTTTTCGAAAATTATATTTACCATAAGATAGCTACATTATTTATTATATTTCAAGCATTAATCTCAATATCGTTGAATGATCTGCACGATTTATAAATCTAAGGGAAATTAAAACTTGAAGAAAAATCCAATGTGAAAACTTCTCCGAGAGGAATTTGTTCTAGTAAAAATTTTCTTTATAGCTTCATTATATCCGAGTGACATAGGCTATATTTTATCCCGTTAAAATAAATTTCGCCCGTGCAATACCGGGGCGGATTACTAGTATAATATTCTTAACAAACGAACTCGCTTTCGCATCTATATATGATGTGAAAGTGAGTTTGTTTGTTACGCTTTATCGCCCTAATAGCTAAATCGAGTATGATGAATTTCCCTATAGAAATAGATGGGACCTTGGTTCTAAACTACATTATCGAAATATTTATAGGGATGATGGAAGGGCTGATTTATCTAAAAAACTTCATATTATTTGCTTCGAATTTTGCAGAATTATCGTTTATAATTACAAAACCAACATGACAACCCAACCAACTGATTAATAAAGACAAGGAATCCATTAAGTATGTACTTCCCTAGTGAGTTTATTTTTTATTATGTTAAGTAACCCTTGAGTAAAATGAAGTAATATCGTAAAAATGAACTTTGAAAACAGTATAATTATGAGCTTTTCATAAAATTTTAATAATCTTAAATAGGTACCTATTATGATAATGTATTTTGCATCATTTAATAAGAAGGAACTGTGTCATATTTTTGTTGTAAGTGTTTTGAAATTCAAAAAATTCAAAATTCAATATCATTTATTCAGTCTAGGCTGTTCACGAGCTGTTACAAGCACTTGTGAATGTCGAAAAGCTACGCCATTGGTTCGCAAATCTACGGCGGGAGACCTTGTACTGAGAAGAACCGGCAAGAAACTCAGCAAGGGCTGTTTTTTTCTCCCTGTATTATATACAGAGTCAATTTGAAAAATGAGTTCAATATGAGATAACCCATGAAGTCACTTTCCATTGTATAGGATTAGATACTGCGAGTAACCCATGTTTTTCTTTTTCTCTTAGGTTTTATCGACTAAATCAAGATTACAACACCAAAATTCATCAAAATTTCTATTCCTACCATTACCGCAGTCTGCTCCTGCATAGTGCACCGCGCTATCACTTTGTCATCGTTGCATTGCAAGTTTTTAAATATTTGTCGAAATGATATCGTCTAAACGCAAAGTTTATCGTCTAGTAAATATAATAGCGATAATTTGAAAAAAATGTTACTACAAGATGTGAAATTTGGAAATGGATATAAAATTATACTTTATTTTAGATTCACAATTTTAGCGGTAATAGCTTACACATTAAAAATAGATATATGCTGTGGTGGACTTTTTTGTGAAACTATTTAAGTGATGATATATTTCCACCATACATTTTATTTATGTAACTTAAAACTCAAAAAGCTCTCTCTGACTCTGACTCTTAAAAGCTCTACTCACCTGCGTGTGTGATTGCGGTGTTGCTGGGGTCATAGATTTCGTCGTCCACAGCTACCACCGCGTACTCCCCTTTGTCCAGGAGTCCCCTGCGCTGAAGCACGCTGACGAAGTCCACCAGAGCGATATGCTCACCAAGGAATACGTATACTGCAACAAAAAATAAGTAGGTACGTTATTCAGAGGAGGTCCGTGGCATAAGCACGGAAGTTAAGCCGTTGGTCCTGGCTACTTCTGCAGTCGTCAGCACCTACCACCAACCTTATTGCATTCATATGGCAGATGTGTGCCCTAGCCGTGGGGACATTAATACGTTAAAGTAAAACGGAGTGGCTGCGAAAGCAAAGAGAAATCTTTGCGTTAAAGATGATATATTATAATTGACATTATTAATGGAAAATCTTCGCGGAGGAGAACTTTACTCTGTACACCTGTTTTATGGTGTCATATCGCCGTCTTTGTGGTACCAGCTTTCCAGGTTTAATTTCCGGACTCCGGCCAATAACTCGTTATCATGATTAAACGACTTCCTTGTTCGAGTGCCTTGTTAATAGGTTTTCTTTTTGTGTATCGTCATCTGGGCTTGCCATATGCCACGGGAATTGGTGTCTGTACATGGTCAGGCCAATCAAGTAAATAGACCTTATAGTCAGTCCATGTTATGTTTTATTGGGAATATTTCGTTATTGTAAAAACAAAGCCTAGTTTGTTGTTGATAAATTCTAAACTTAATTCAGTGTATGGTTGTATTTATCTTCATAAAAGGGGAGCCATTAAAGGGGTTCTCTAGAAAACTACCTAAAGGAATAAAGGGACGCGGACGAAGTGCAGATTTGATGGGTGCACTCCACCGATGTGGTAGTTCAATAGTACCATTGGCTTACGTCTAAGACACATACATAGCGGATTTACCACTCAAATCGGAGCGTCCGTCTGGGAAGTAACCTTTTATTACAATGGGAAGTATACTAACTTTTTCTACTTCGTCTATCATGGCAGGGATGAAGCAAGCGGGTATTTTGGATTTAGATAAGGGGGGCAACCTTGCACTTAGTTAACTACTTCCACCATACCTGAGCCGTCTATGAAGAACCGAACATTTAGGGTGGCCAAAACAAATTCAACAATCGGTCATGTCTTTTGGTCGCGTCCAAATCGTCAGTCTTTTGACATGAGCTAGTGGAGGGTTCACGTAACATCCCTTCTCAATGTCCGACGCGCTTGAATTTTCCCCCCCTATATTGGACCCCTTCGTACGGTACCCCCACACCATGCAAATAGGCAGATCATTTTTTTTCTGTCAACAGAAATGTTACGTGAACCCTCCAGGAACTCCTATTTAAAATACTGATGATTTGTACGCGACCAAAAGATATGGCCGAAGTACTTAACAAGGTGCAACTTTAACCCCTTAAGTTAATCTACCGCGCTTGAGTCATCCAAAAATCCCCGCTTGGGCTCACCTACTCAAATAGATTATGAAAAAGTACGTATTTTTGAAGAGAAAACTTCTTTAGCGGCTTTGTACACTATTTTTGTAATGGGTAAAAACTGTTAGTCTCGCGTCAGGACACGTGGCCTGATCGCGTCAAAAAACGTGACCTAATCGAAAATTCATAAGACGAAAACAAGAAAATTGGAAAGGTTGTTGACTTTCAATATATTGGACGAAACATAGTAATATTTTATTTTATCGTATTATAATAATAAGTCTCTATTAAGGACGTCCAGGTGGCAGCTTTATTACAAAGAAAATGCATTTTTTTACAATAGATGTCGCTAAGTGCGCTTAAATGTGATTCATGTAAGTTGATTTTCCTAAGAGATATACTTTTTATTGTAATATAAATTGTTATGTTTGTGTACGATGGCGCAATAAATAAAAATTGCATTCTTCCACATAAATGATAGTATTTTTATAATGATAATTAAATTAAAGCAATTCGTGCAAAGTTATTCCCTTACGATTCCAAAATATAAAAAATGCACATTTTTTATATTTTTTCGCTAAAATTCAAATTTTCACTTCTGCCTGCACTCCCGGAGTACAACTCGTCATTTTTTCCTTATTTACATAATCAAAACATTACAGAGATGCCGCGGTAGCATAATGGTCAGTGCATTCGCCCGGATAGCGAAGGGTGCGGGTTCGAGTCCCGTCTGATGCCTGGTCCGCGTAGATTTTTTTCCATAAAAATTTTCTTTAGATTTTATCATCTAGCAGTTAAATGCATAAAAAATAAAACAATATAATTACAGAGGTATTAATATTGATTTGAAATGGCGCATGACGTCACGTCTTGACACATTTTTTTCTTAGAAGTGACGTCACTCCCAAACTCCAAAGCGATTATTTTTTGTATTTTTTTGGGTTGATAGACAAAAGAAAAAATAAGAAAGTAATTATATTTTAAAATATCTAACTGACGGATTAAATAAAATTTCGTTATGTTATCTTAGATAGATAGATAGATAGATAACACTTTATTGTGCACACCATATTAAATATTACACACTAGGACAAAACTTAAATAGTGAACAATTGGCGGTCTTATCGCTATATAGCAATTTCTGCCAGACAACCATAGGATGGAGAGATGAAATTTAATAAAAGAGGGGGTGTGCTCATATAACAAATAAAAATAATTACAATAAAAGATTCAGGATTAAACATACTCCTAAATATCTACTATGCAAGTATACAAATATTAAATGAATGAGTAGAGAGACATAAACATACATACACACATACAGTTGGAACAACACAAACAACTACTTTGAAAGGAAAAAATCTTTAATCTGCTTTTTAAATAAACCAATCGTCTGGGCACGTCTGATGTTAACGGGGAGAGAGTTCCAGAGGCGCACAGCTTGAACACAAAAAGAATATTTATAAAAGGTAGTATTATGTGATGGAGTTTTAAGGCTCAAATTCTCTGATGAGCGTAGAGACTGAGAGTGGGAGCAGTGGAGAAAACTGAAAAGCTCTTTAAGATAATTGGGATAAGAGGGATTAAACAACACATTGTAAAGAAGGGAAAGTATATGAGTATCCCGGCGACGACGAATTGGAAGCCACTTGAGTTGAGAACGAAACTGGGAAACATGATCATATTTTCTTAAACCAAATATGAACCTGATGCAGAAGTTTTGAAGACGCTCAAGTTTATTTAGCTTGTCCTCGGTAAGATCTAGATAGCAGGCGTCAGCATAGTCAAGGACTGGAAGCAATAGAGATTGAGATAGCATAATTTTAGTGGCAGTGGGTAAAAAGTTACGTAGTCTTCTTAACGAACCAGCAGACGCATACAGTTTTCGACTTACAGCTTGCAGCTGTGGCTCCCAGCTCAATGAACTATCCATTATCACTCCGAGATTCTTTACCGTTGAACTATAAGGTATGTCAATTCCTTCGAAACTAACTTTAGGAAGAGTAGTCCAGTTAATTTGAGATAATAGTCTAGAGCTACCGACTATCATGACCTGAGTTTTGATAGGATTAACATTAAGGCCAAAAGCTTTACTCCACTCCGCAATTCGACACAGATCAACATTAGTTTTAAAAACTGCTTCCTCAATTTTTTCAAGTGGCGCCTGGCAATATATCTGTAAATCGTCTGCATAAAGGTGGTAGGAAGAAGATAAGTTAAGAGAAATTGAATTAATAAATATTGCGAAAAGAAGAGGAGATAATACGCCGCCTTGTGGAACGCCAGCAGACGTCTCGCACCATGACGAGAATTTGTCATCAAGGCGAACACGCTGCCTATGTCCATACAGATAATAGTAAAACCAGTCAATTACCGTTGGAGATATGTTAAGAGAGCGTAATACGGCTATAAGAACATCAAAATCGACAGTGTTAAAAGCGTTACTAAAGTCCAATAATGTTAGCACAGTTAGGCGACTCTTTTCCATGCCAAGTCGGATGTCATCAGTAACCTTGACCAAGGCAGTGACAGTGCTATGGCCAGGACGAAAGCCCGATTGAAGAGGATTTAGGAGATTATGGCGTGTAAGGAAATTATTAATTTGTTTGTGAAGGAGACGTTCAAGCACTTTGGATAAAAAGGGAAGAATGGATATAGGACGATATTCGGAGAGGACTTTCGGGTTATGTTATCTTAATGTTAAGTATAGGGTATTATTAAAATGATTTTAGCTGTACCTTTTTAACATATAAATACATAAATAATAAATACCTATGTAAATGAGAAAAAGATACCAATATCTTTTCACAATAGCTAAGTGTCCGAACAATATTGCCTTTCATCAATTCAGTTGTGTGCATGAGTAGATATCTCATTTCGCAAAACCCTCGCAAGGAAAACATGGCCATAACGATATTGTGTTTGTTTATGTATTAATAATTTCCTACGTATTTTTCTTTATTGTTTCTTTAATATCACAAAAAAATACATGTTATATTAATAATAACTGCTGGTTATATCGATATTTGAATATGCTATTCTCAGTATGAAAATAAAGTATTAAGCATGAATATTCGGAGCGATATCACTATTCCGACAAAAATTATTAAGTAGTTGATAATATTAATAAAAATCATGAAATAGAAAAGTGCTTTTGTTCTATTGTCACGTGACCGAAAACGCCTGGAATTGGCGGAGCCTAAATGACGTCACCTGCTTGTAAACACGCCATACACAGCGACCAAGAGCTCTATTTTTGAATCACTCGTCTTGCGTCGAACGCTCGATTTCTACTAAATTTCATTCGACATAATTAATTCCGTATTTTTGAATCGCTCGAGTGCAACGAATGGGTGAGACCACTCACTGCATGGCGAATGATGGAGGCGAATGATAGAATAATTCTCAATTTTTTTGTGCTATTAGACAACGATAATCTATCATTATCATTCTTTACATGAAACGACAACGAGAATTTTTTGTTCGGTTTTCATTGAGGTAATTACCGGTTTTTATTTTTTCTGCGTGAAATGAGTAAAATTTCATATCAAACAGGTAACACTGGAGAAGAGTGATTCAAAAATACGGAAAATCAGTATTATGCGACTTGAAAGTCGAAGGTGACTTATGTCGCTTTCGACGATACTATGTCAGACGAGTGATTCAAAAATAGAACTTCAAGATCTTTACGAACGTGAGTGACAGTTGAGGGAGGGCGCC